AAATTGTGCTCATAAGTCAAGGACTATCTGTATATATTCCATTATATTTAGTGGAAGCTTATTCAACTTCCCCAGTGATCAGTGAATATGGATTTGGGAAATAAAGAATACAGGTAGCCCTTGACTTACGACCACAATTGAGCTCAGAATTTATGTTGCTAAGTGAGAAATTTGTTAAGTCAATGTTGCCCCATTTTACAACTTTTCTTGCCACATTTGTTGTGAATCACTGCAGTTGTTAAATTAGTAACACAGTTGTGAAGTGAATCTGGCTTCCCCATTGACTTTGCTTGTCAGAATGTGACAAAAGATGATCACACGATCGTCATAAATATGAATCAGTTGCAAGCATCCGAATGTAAATCACATGACTGTGGGGATGTCATAAATGTGAAAAATGGTTCTAAGTCAGTGCCGTTCTAAATTCCAACAGTCAGTAAATGAACTGTGATAAGTCGAGGACTGCCTGTAAATGGTCAATTATGATTGGCTAATGGTTCCTGTTTTTAGCTAGCTCATATTTTAACGGGAGAAACCAGGAAGCTCCTGTTCCCCCTCCTGGTGCCAAGACACAAGGCCTTTCCCCAGAGAAATGAAGGGGTCTCTTCCACTGATCCTGACATCGATCCCTCTTTGATCCCCCTGACACTGACCCAGAATCTCTTTTGGATGCTCTGCGGTCAAAATATCATCCAGCATAAAACCTCAGTGGCTGTTTTTTACCTCTAAATTTTTTCATGGCACTTTTCAGAAGCACAGCGAAATCACTGTAATCCCAGATTGTCCACATCGGGTCTACAAGTAAATCCACCGGATTCTCATATGTTTTCTTCGCCTGGTACCTGGCAAGGCAAAAGAACAATGATTATTATCCTCCCAATGGAAAAAGTATCAGATGGTGTTTGAGGATCCAGTCTGAGTTGGTCACCGGGACCAGAGGTTTATTCTTCCAAGCTTTTGGATTCGTGCTGGAACTGCCCTCTCTCCACAGTATGTACACTGGGCTGTCCTGCACATTGTATACATGTGATGCCTGGTTGTGTGTGACTTTTAGTTGTTAAGTGGGGTGTTGATGGCTGGCTATTAAATCAGTGATTGTTCTTTCTTTGTGTTGCCCTGTCCTCAGCTCCTAAGTACCTGGTAAGCTGGTGATTGACTGACAAGGGCCCTGTTTCCCAGGCTTCAATCATTTCTCTGCTTAGCTATTGTTTTAATAAGGTGTGGAATAAGAACAGGAAGCTGGGGTTGGAAGAAGAATATAAAAGATTAGAACTAGAACTACAGAGAATACCGCAAAAAACGAATCTTAAAAATCAAATGGAATTAGTAAAACATAAATTAAATATATTCAAGACCAAGAAAAACCAAATGTACAGGTATAGTGTAGGGGGTACCTTGCTCAATAGTAATAACTGTGAGAGGGATCTCGGAGTCCTAGTGGACAATCACTTAAATATGAGCCAGCAGTGTGCTGCAGCTGCCAAAAAAGCCCACACAGTGCTAGGCTGCATTAACAGAGGGATAGAATCAAGATCACATGAAGTGTTAATACCACTTTACAATGCCTTGGTTAGGCCACACTTGGAATACTGCATCCAGTTTTGGTCACCACGATGTAAAAAAGATGCTGAGACTCTAGAAAGAGTACAGAGAAGAGCAACAAAGATGATTAGGGGACTGGAGGCTAAAACATAGAAGGAACGGTTGCTGGAATTGGGTATGTCTAGTTTAAAAAAGAGAAGGACAAGGGGGGATATGATAGCAGAGTTCCAGTATCTCAGGGGCTGCCACAAAGAAGAGGGAGTCAAGCTATTTTCCAAAGCGCCTGAAGGCAGGATAAGAAGCAACAGATGGAAACTAATCAAGGAGAGAAGCAACCTAGAACTAAGGAGAAACTTCCTGACAGTTAGAACAATTAACCAGTGGAACAACCTGCCTCCAGAAGCTGTGAGTGCTCCAACACTGAAGGTTTTTAAGAAGAGACTGGACAGCCATTTGTCTGAAATGGTATAGGTTTCCTGCCTGAGCAGGGCGCTGGACTAGACGACCTCCAAGGTCCCTTCCAACAGAAAAAAAGTTCACTGAAAATGAGATAGAAAATGTTAAAAGATTTTGTTAATGAAACTGAGTGATAAATCCTGAGGACACATAATCTAGTGGCAAAAGGGGTTCTTATAATAATTATAATTATAGTAAACTAATGGGATCATTAAATAGACAAAGTGATAGAAAATGAAGAAGCTAAAGTGCTTTGGGACTTTAGAATTCAAAGGCTGCTGCATAACACCCCAAACCTGACAATTATTGATGAGAAAGACAAAAAAAGTAGACATAGTATTACCTGGAGACAAAGGAATAAAAGAGAAAGAACTGGAGAAAATCACAAAATACAAAGATCTGCAAATAGAAGTAGAACAACTGTGGCCAAAGAAAGCAAAGGTAGCACCAATAGTAATACCCGCCTTGGGTGTAATCCCAAAACATCTGGAGCACCACTGGAACAGCATCGACACTGACAAAACCACTATCAGACAATTGCAAAAGGCAGCTTTACTTGGAACAGCTTACATCCTACAATGATACCTTTAGCACCATCAAACCTCTGTCTATCCTTGGGAAGGACTCAATAGATTGACAAAAATACCAAATTCAATCTAAACATCTAGCTGACTGTGGGACCAACCATAATAATTCACCATATCAAATATTGCTAATTACATTGTGTTGAGGTTGTCTGGGGAAATATTTACGAGGCCCTGAGATACATTGTCTCTAAATTAAATTACTGCTAAATACAAACAGAACTTTCCAAAATAGGAAAACTGCTGGAGGAGCTGCCGGTCTCTGAGACGGTAAAGAGGAGGGTGAAGTCACTTACTTCTTCAAGATGCTTCCAATGTCCTAAAAAAGAGAGATGGAAAAATGAAAGGAGCCATTTCTATGCAGTTACATTCTTAAAATTCATAAATGTGTGAAATCAGGTACAAACTGACATATAATTAAAAAGTACTTTTTTCTTTAAAAAAAAACAACATTGCTTTTTTCCCCCCGGCCGCTCTTTTTTAGAGAAGCATTGTTTATCTGTAATACCATCAAACATCCACATCTGCCTATCCCAGGTCCTGGGTAAGGACTCAATAGGTAGACAAAATGCCAAATCCAGTCTGAACATCTGGCTGACTGTGCGTTGATCAATAATAATAATAATAATAACAATAATAATAGTAATAATAATGCAAAGAAGAAGAATAAAGTTGGAATGGACCTTGGAGGTCATCTAGTCCAACCCCCTGCTCAGGCAGGAAACCCTATACCATTTCAGACAAATGGCTGTCCAGTCTCTTCTTAAAAACTTCCAGTGTTGGAGCATTCACAGCTTCTGGAGGCAGGTTGTTCCACTGGTTAACTGAATTCCACACAAGTGTTGGGGTTTCC